TTTTTCTCTCTTTTTTATTTTTCGGCAGAACTGACAGGGATGGGGAGACGGGCCCGTGGCTCCCCTGCTGGATCCATCCCTGTGCGAAAGGAGGTATAGCTTGGTGGGGGAGGGCTTATTACCTAATAGCTTTTGAGCTACCTGAAAATTAGCGTTTAGTTTGTTCTTTCTCACTTCTGTCAATCTCATCCTGCATTTGAATAATTTTAGTTTAGTATTAATCAATAAACTGTAATCATCATGTCGTGTTACAGCTAACTGAGAAAACAAATATATCAGTATTGAGAAAAAAAATAAAGATTTTGACTGATTTGTTTTCAAAAACACAAAACAATCGCTCTTAAATTATCCCCGTAAACAATGTTAATATTGACAAAAAAAGAAAGAAGTAATATTTGCTGTCGTGGAAATACAGATTTTCCTTGATACACACAATAGGCTTATATATAATATTATGATATGATATCATATATAATTATGATATATTAAATGGACTGCTTGTTGTGTACTATTTTCTTCCCTTTTTAAGTCTCATAGAATCTATGTATGAGGTATATAAACCAAATACAGACTGCTTAATTTTCGTGGAACGGTGACATCTAGCCCCTTAGTGATGTGGAAACCGTAGCCTATCTTATTGGCTACGGATCTTCACATCACCTCTGGGCAATAGATTTCTCATTCCCCTCATGAGCAGTCAATATTTATATAAAATTATTTTTTTCCAGTCCAGCCAAGTCGGAGAGTTTTAGGCACAAGGGCTCGCAAACGACAGCGCACAGACAAAGATAACATGCTAAAACAAGGTAAATTCTGTTTATTTATTAATTTAATTTATTAATTTATATATTACCTCAAACTGGCAAATATACAATACAATTACAAATGAGCTAAAGCTGCCGGTTCCAAAAAGGGCCAACAGGTGAATAATGAAGGCACCACTGATACCGGCCAATCCCGAACTGCACAGGTAACAAGAGAAAAAAAATCAAGAATACAAATAAAATGTCAAACTAAAGTTTGAAAAATGGAACTCTATACATAAATTAAGAACACATTCTCAATAAGATTTACTGCTTAATTAAAACACATTAAAACAAATATGTCACTATTAATTCTAAAAGAATAGAAACCCTTCGACAGCTTGGCTTTTGTAATATCATTTTAGAAAGACACAGTTATATTAGTGCAAAATGTTTGGAAAAAAAACGTACAAGTGTCTGTCCTAGAGTAAAAGGTATGTTGATCACAACAATAAATGAACACAAAGGTAAGTTGACAGAATGTTAAAATAGACCTACAGGTTTGAAGGCAATTTCATGTAAACAATGGTAATTATTTTGCAAGCATTGAGGCTGTGGAGTGTACTGCCTAATAATGGTACGTTTCTATATGATATGATGCTCCAATTTTGTCATGGTTACTTTAGCTTTTGTAGATGACGCCGTTATTGCGACTGTGTCTGAGGAAATGAACTACAGCTGGAAAGGTTTTGGTGTCCGTTTAGGTGTTTCATGGGCTAGAGTTAACCGGTTTTGTGCTGAGGAACGGCGGGACTCACAAAAAGCTATCGTTAATATGATGAAGTATTGGAGAAACAATGTCAAAAATGAAACGCATCAACTAAAAGTGTTGTGCATTGCTTTGAGGCAGCACAAATACAAGAGACTAGCTGGGGAATTATTCAGTGGTGATCTCGGCGACGAAATTCTGACCTTAGCCAAACATGAAGGTGAGTTGTAGTGAGAGGTAAACCAGTGATGGCGCCAGGATCCGCCCAACAGGGGGTGCTAAAAGCCCCGACTGGGTGGAGCTAGGCGAGCAAACGAGTCTTAATTGACTGGGGGTTGGGGGTAGCTGCCTAGGGACCACTGTGGGGGCTACGGACATTTGACAAATTTTGGTGAATTTTTATTAGTTATTTGACATCAAGCTATCGTAATATGACATCATGTATGTTTTTAATGTTCCAAACCGAAAATATTTGGATAAAACAACGAGAAACAAAGAGTATGCAATGTAACCAACTAACTTATTTTTAAAATCTGTTTTACATTTTATATTATTGGATAAAACAACGAGAAACAAAGAGTATGCAATGTAACCAACTAACTTATTTTTAAAATCTGTTTTACATTTTATATTATTAAAAAAAAAAAAAAAAAAAAAACACACCGTATTACATTACAATACTATCCTCAGGCTCCATCCTAGAGAAATCCAGGTATTTCATAATTCATGTGATTGTGAATTATTAACAAAATTACGAATACAGTAAGAATAATATCTTACTGTAAATTGTAAGTCCACCAATTTGTCACATTTATACTACGATAAATTAAGAAAAAACAATGTCACCGGGAACGTCACAGTAGGCCTACAAGCTTTTAATTCAAAGTGAAGCTATAAATTGGAAATTTTGCCTGAAATCTGTAAACCATGAGGTTGCTTCCCCGATTAAGATGTATTCCAAGCATCATGAGAGGATATCCAAACGAGCATTTGTCATAGTAGAACGTAAACCATTTTTAATTAGTCCCATTGAACAAGGGCGGATCCAGAATTTTTCAAACGGGGAGAGGGGCATTTGTATTATTTTTTTTATTTCAATACCTAACAGTAATATGCACTGACATTTTAAAATATAGTTTCAAAGCACTGTTTTGACACTTGACACTGTTCTGCTGACTTAGTTCCAATAGATGTTCGAATGTAATTAATTCATTGTGAAAAAAAAAATCTGTTTCATGAGCTTAAATCAATGTGAAAAGTAATATATACGGTAGTCGGATAACTTACAATAAAACGGCACGTAAATTTATGTTATATTATTATTATTATTGTTTTTGTTACGGTATTATTGTGAGGAAAAGTTAACACAAACGGTACACAAATAGGTCATTGAAGGCGATATGGTTGCTAAACGAACAGACATGTAAATATATTTTTTAAAATTTTTGTTATTCCCCGACGGGGGGGGGGCTAAGCTCCCCCGACGAGGGGGAGCTTAGCCCCCACCAGCCACCACTGAGGTAAACTAAAGATTGAATTAAAATTGCATAAAAATGTTTTATCCATATAGAAATTGTTGCACTTACGATTGAATCAAAGAGTTAGTCATGAGACGTAATTGTGTTGTTTTCTGTATTTCTACCAAACATTGCATAATACCACTAAGGATGACAGTATTCTTTTTCTCAGGATACTTGGCTGATGTTGACTTGTTATTCATCGCCGAGAGACTTGGCGTGGACTGGAGAGCGTTTGGTATCGACATCGGTCTGAAGGATCATGAAATGCAACAAATTGAAATGAGTTTTCCACCACCACCTATTGTAGACGCCATTTTAGAAATGTTGGTCGAGTGGCGTGAAAAGCAGGAACCTCAAGAGAACTACCTCGCAAAGATGAGTAATGAGTTGGAAGCTTTCGGAAAACGAGACATAAGTGAAGAACTCAACAATTATTACCAGGAAAAATATCAGTAAAAATGAATGGAAGTAAAATAATTAGAAGGGTATGTGTAGAATGTTGATATGGGTACACGTTTAAAAGAATGAACATGAAACTCAATTGTGTTCAATAAAATATACCTTGACATACAGTAAACCCCAAATAAAAGCCCTGAGATTCTACTGTTTTGTTTTTTTGTTTGTTTTATTTTTTTGCTAACTTTAGGTGGATTCTTTTCTTTGCAAAGTAAAGAGGGCGGGGTGCTTCTTTAAATGCTGTAAATTTTAGGAACTACTATTATACAACAGTAAAGGGCCACTGTAACATCACTCTGTATCATGGAGTGTACAAACCGGAATTGAATCACCTAAACTACTGTATATTACTGTGTTTTAATTTATGTTGTTTTTCTGAAATTCCGTTATGTAACGTCGGCTTAAAATCTCGAAAAGAAG